CAGCAACAGCTGTGGCCTGTGCTGTGCAAGAGGTCAGATTAGATAACGACCATGTTACCTTCTGGCTTGAAGATACTAACCTGGTCTCTGGGTCCCTTACTGGACACCCTGCACGATGGCCCTTCCCTGGCACCTCACTCACCCATCAGGCTCGTCCTTCACGGGGCCAGGCGCCCGGGGGATTGTCTGAGGACTCCTGCAGGAGCGCTTGGCCTGAATGACTCATTCCAGCCATTGGCTCTCCTTACACAGGCTGTCCTGCGGGAGCAGCGGGGCTGGAGCCCCACGTGTCTGCAAGACGGAGGAAATGGCCGGCACAAGGACCCATGATCACATGCTCGAAAGCAGCTTGTCGGGCTGGGGCCGCTGACCCACAAAAATCAGTCGGGGGCCACGCACACGTGGGAAACAAACGCAAAAACCAACCAAACCCCCCACTGACGTGGCGCCCGACTGAGAAGGAGAAAGACTCTCCCCACATTCCCCTCCCCCTCCAGAGCCTTGGGGGCCCAGGCTAGTAGACTGTGTGTGCTCCAGCCCTGTTATGGCGTGAGGCAGGGCTGGAGCACCAACACGGGCCCCCCAATGCTGGGGGGAGCCCCAAACCTCAGGGGCCAGATCCAGGCAAGTTTCCCCAACCCCGCTCAAAACTCTCTCAAACATTCAAATCTTGGGGCGGGAATTTTTCACATTGAGTCTCTTCCTGAAGATTAATTTCATCAAATGTTTGAGTTAAATTCCCCCTGCTGCTTCGGCGTTATGGAGAGGATGAAAACGCTACGTCTGCCAGCGCCTCAGGTGTCCGAGCACACGTCTCTGAGCAGGGCCATAGGAAACTAGCTTAAAGCTTAGCGTGGACTGTCTGCCCCGGGCACCTTCCAAAGCAAATTCAAATGATCACTTTGGCTGCGCTCAGGGGCACCTGCTAAGGCCTTTAAAGTGCATAACAGAGGCAACGCCCCTTTGACAGAGCCCCGCCCTTTCCCCTTCCGTGTGCGGACCCGAAGCAGCTGCTGCTGGGGACGTGCATCGGAGAGTTTAAGTGTCTCACTGAAAAACTCAAAGGAAAATCTGCGCGCCCCAGAGCACAAAGCCAAGCCCCTGCTCTGACATGGCGAAGAGCAGAGAACGCTGAGCCTGGATGCCGGGCGGTAGCGCCTGGGCTTTTGCTGCCATCTGCCATTTGCCACAGCTGTGGAACTCCGCGCGTGCGTAAGCAGGTCGACTTCAAAGCAACGGGAGAGACACGTGTCCCACGGGAAGGGCCTGCACCAGTCGATGCCATTATCCAGAACAATGCACAGCGCCAGGAAAACCGCCTGGCCCTGGT